AGGCGGCAGGCGGGAATCGAACTCATGCGGAAGTGGCTTCAGATTCTCAGTGCTGTGCTTTAACCCGCTGCGCCACCAGGGAGGGCCTGTTTTTCAATTTTTATCTGTGATTTCCTTTAGTCTTTTATTTTGTGAAGAAAGAAAATGATTGATAAAATAATACTTTCTCAATTTTTAAATTTTTCTACCATACTGAAGTAATTTGTGATTCTGACGTGGAAAGCATCTCTCATCTCTTAAAAGTCATTATCGTAGTGGTCAGTGAAGAGTATGAACAAAGGGAATATCAGAAAGTCTCATCCCATCACACACACACATTCACACTGAGTTACTTCTGTGATGATTGTATAAAGACATAGCTAGGGAAGTTATAATTTCGTCTCATAAAATAATTTTGAAGTGGGAGGAGTCTACAATATTCTTTCTCATATTCCTAATGCCATTAAAATAATCAAGGTGCATATGTAGTATTTCATATTATACCACTGAAATATTAGAATTAGCATTAGCATAACATTCCAATTCCTAGTGGCAGGTGTTTCTCTCACCCACTCAAGTCAGTAACTGCGGACTTACCGCTGCTCGGCATAACCTATCTTTTTAGAATCTAAGGAAACTCACAAGACTTGATTCGAAAACTTCTTTCCCCACAGAAGCTGACAGTGTGAGTAGCTGACCTTTGGCTCAAAGTCCTGATCTCAGTCGCACTCAGAGAAATCTCAACTGCGGAGGAAAAATAAGTCCATTTCAAGCCTTCTTAGGCCACTGGAGTTTAGGTTATTAAACCTCTTCGGCACAACTCATTCTGTGGGTGCTTTGGGTATTTGGTGTTCCTGGTGAATACCTTGGGACTAAAACTTGCAATTATATTGAATGTTTTTGCAGAGTATTTTTCTGCTGAGGTGATTTAGTAAGCATAGAGTTATCTGCACTTTTTGCCTATTTGTGTTTATTGGATCAAATTATTGAAAATATGTACTTTGTGTGTTAGATAAAAGAATATCCAAACTGACTTTATTCTAATCTGTTAAATGATTAACAAGTCATTTATTTGATTTTTAACTGGTAATATTATGCCTAATATACATCCTCATTATCTAAAAAGGACAGTTTTATACGTTCATATATTTGTTAATAATGAGCATCATTCAGCATCTCTACTATACTGTATAAGGTCTGTCATTTGATAGACTCCCCTAAAGCATTTTTAAGGGTTGAAAGTGAATTTTATTGTAAGTATTTTATAACAAAATCACTTTTAAAATATGAATAT